CAATATAGATACGAACGATTACAACCACTAAAATCAGACAGATGAAATAAGTCACAATGAATGCTAGAGGCTTTTGTCCAAGAAAAGAGCGGGGCGCTCGCCATCCATCAAAGTATGGAGGACAGACTTGGGGCCAGTGCTTTAAGCTGTACTTAAAAATTCTGTTTGTTTTTCTTGTTTGTTTTGCCACTAAGAGAGAGAGAGAGCGAGAGAGATTCCTGTGCTGCTGTTATGAATTATTGATAATTTCAAGCAACTAATTGAATTTATTAGAAGAATCTCACTTCATCATCTTACATAAAACTATTTTTCATTTCGCCTTTGAATTTACTATTTGAAATGGTGAGTATGCAGAAGTTCAACGGATGCATGGTTTTCCTTCGGTTTCTTCGGTCTCTTTCATGCTCGAGCTCAACAGTGCGGCTCTTCGCTAGTGAGGTCGCTCCCGCCGCAGAAGAAACTTTGAACAAGCAAATATTTGTGAGTGCAATTAGCAATGTTTTCATTATATCTTTTCTCAAATATCACAACACATATGCTACCTTGTGGCAAATCCGCTTAAACTTAATCCCTGCCATGCGCAATCGCTGTAATATTTGCAATATCGGTCATTAGTTATAAGCTCTTACGGCAGGCTGACTGTCATCATATTCGAAGACTCGGCTAAAATCAGTTGTGCTCTGAAACCCATATATAAAGTACTTAATTTATCTTGATATAGGTGTTTGATCGAGAACTGAAGAAAAAACAACGAGATTGGGCTGCACGTCAGAAAGACTTTGATGAGGCACAGTATCTAAAAGAAGAGATCGGATGGAGGGTTGCCGATAAGGTGTAATGCTACAGAGATATGGTAGCTTTCTTATTTACGTAAGCTTTCCTTATAGGTGTTTGACCTAACAAAATTCAACCCACTGGCGCTAGACATAGGCTGCGGCGTTGGTCATATCGCACCCCATATGATCAAGGAGAATGTGGGAACCCTCATACAATGCGACATGAGTGCAACGATGGTTGAAAAAAGTCACGGAGCAGATGACAGCGAGGTGAGTTGTATCAATCATCACCTGAATTATGTTTAATGGTACGTCTACCATATAACGAACTCTCGTAATTATATTGAATATTTGAATGGATTTTAAAAAAAGCTTTGACTTAAAGTTTATCTACTAATAACATTAAGTGCTAAAGCGCACTATAATTCGAAAAGTTATGTGTACCAATAATGAAATCTGGAATTCTGACATCAAATTTGATGTGAAGCCGCTAACTTCTCTCTGCTCATCGTTCATAATTTCGACTTATAAAGTCTAGTTTAAAAATCGGTATTTGTGAACGTCTATCCAAAATCCTACTAATATGGAATGTTCAGTCGATCGCCAGGTACACCTAGGCTACTGTGGGTGCGGGTGCAATATCTCCCATGTAGTCATAATACCACACCTAATTTTCTCAGTAGAATAGATTGTCGGATAAGTTTGTGCCGTTTTTTTT